GAAAAGAAAATCGATGGAGCATACACTAGAATGCTACGCACTGCCTTAAACAGATCATGGAAGGACCACCCCACAAATGTAGAGCTCTATGGCCACATCCCACCAATCAGTAAATTGCTACTGCAACAAAGGATGAGATTTGCAGGACATTGTTGGCGCAGTAAAGAAGAACAAGCAGGGGATGGATTACTCTGGAAGCCACCACAAGGACATCAGCCAAGAGGACGCCCCAAAAAAGACCTACATTGACCAATTGATGGATGACACAGGATGCAGAATTGAAAAAGTATCAATTGCAATGGAAGACAGAGAAAGGTGGAGGGAGTGTGTCATGGAATACCAAGCAAGCTTGACCTAATGATGATGATGATGATGATCAGAAAAATGGTTTAGTGAAAATAATGTTGTAAGGCAAATGTTTAGCTCTTTCCTGGAATGATATGACCATCACTCATTTGACAGTTGAACTTTACCAAAACTAAAGTAGCATACAAGTACAGCGTATACAAATGCACATATGTAAACAATTTTCAAGAACACATTTTTTGAGTCTAGTCTTACCATCAGCTTTTCAAACCAGTATTCACTTAACAACAAAATTGGCTTTAATTGATTGTGATAGGCCAACATAAAATGTATCATACATATTACAGTCAAACCTGTGTGCTCCTTGTGAAAGCTGTCTTAGGGACCTCAGGTGTCTGCACTGGAGTCTGCTGGGTAGATGGCACTGGAGCACTCTGTGGACGCCCATCTGACTCTGTATCTGATGCCTTATTTTCACTTTCAGGATGATCAAATGTCTTTTCCAAAACACTGCTCTGCCCATTTCCTAACATAAAGCCTTGTTCCTTTCCTAAAACACCATCCTCCTCTTTAGATTTCCTTTCAAAGTCTGATTTCTTTACATTCAAAGCCTCTTGTAGGGCAGGCCATTTAACATACACTGACAAGTCATCCTTGGTCACAAATTTATCCTGAAGTTGTTTTTCAAGAGAATGCATCCTTTGCTGCAGTAACTGAGAGTTCTCCGCATCATGGGATTTCCTTGCAGACAGACTCTGTCCAAGGTTATCATCCTCAAATGGCTTTTGACCAAGAAATCTTTCTTTCAGGTTTTTTAGTTCACTGGCAATATCCTCCACTTCATCTTTGACTCTACTGATTCCTTTTCCATCACCCCCAAGAAATTCATTCAAAATTGTCATTATTCTATCAATACCTTCTTCTGTAGCCTGGAGCCTGCTGTTAAATTTCATTAACTGCCACATTCCAGAAAGCACATTTTGATTGGATCCATCATCTTGGGTTACACTTGTTGAATTTTTTTGTGCCTGTTCAATTATAAACTGAGTGGATGGTAGGTTATCAAGGATTTTTAATTTGTCCTCTAGTTCTTGAACTTTATTCTCAAGGTTTTGTTGCCTCATCTGCAAACTGAATTCAAACCAACTTCATTATCAAAAATTGCCAAAACAAGAGTAACAGACATAAAATAAAATATTCTTCACAATAATCAAATCAAAGTTCAGATTGCTTATCAAATAATTCTAAAGAATGGCTTTGAAGCTAATGTGCAAGTGATACGGAGGGATTATATACAATTTGTGCTTCCCAGATAAATCCACAAAATGTGCTAAAAAAGGTTGATAGAAATTCCAAATTCATAAGTGGCTTCAAAATCCAAGGAAACAACAAAAATATTAGTTACTGATTGTAAACACAAATGGATTGGTGAAGTGGTGAATCAACTTGCTCTGCCCTCTGCATCAAAAATAACCTTATACTACCAATTTTTGCTCACATTTTTTTAATTCATGCAGGAGATAAATACTGTGGTAATAAGATTTACTATTAAATATACAAAAAAATACTAAAAATTAAATTAAGAGTGATGAATTATCTCTCGAACTGCTATTTATTTTCAGTCCACAAGGGGCTACAGTTGAAAAACTGCATTGCTGATTCAAACTAGTATTAGTAATTGGTTTAAGAAATTTGAAACAAAGATTCAAAACCATTCCAGGTTTTTAGACTAATGACATTTACATATTTAAGACACTTAACAGGCCTTATGTGCATTTTTTCCTCTTAGTTAAGTTCGTCAACTTAACATGAATGGCACAAAATTCTATAAATGATTTGGTTTTTTTAAGGAAAGTCTAGAAACTGAAGCCTATTCAAGTGCAAGTCTAGTCATACTCTCTACCTTGATTTGCTGAAACTTACAGATAATTCCGCCAACCATTGTTTGCAAAAATAACTAAAGAGAACAATAGTTTGGCTTTCGTCCCACTGCAAACACTGTCAAGTGTTTATGAATATTAGGTAAATGAAAGTAAAGTCAACCTAATAAGCCCCCTGCAAAGTTGCTACAATATTCAACCTCTCCCAAAACATCTGCACAGCTGAAATTTTGAACGGAGTTCTCTCTAATCAAAACTGAAAGACTGAAGCAAAGTAACAAAAAAAGAAAAATTGACATTTCACTGTAAAGTTATTTATGAGCGCCTAACTGAACAAATACAAAGTAAACATTAACTTTAAATGTCTTCGTTTCCACGACGACAAATACTTTGAACCGTCAACAAATCATAGAATGTAGCGTTTTGTTGAATATTTTTAACTATTTCGGTCTTTCTGAGGAGTTGTCCAGTAAAATTCTCACGCAACAAAGTAGATCAATTCAAGGTTTTACTTTTAATCAAAATACGTAAAGAGAATGAACCCTCCGGCTGCATGTAAAAATGGCTGGATTTTGTTCGCTTACCGTCATTGTTGATAATGAATGTAACATGCAATTAGTGAAAATCCGCTTAAGAATATGAGCTATTTTCGCGCGATTACAAGGGAAATACTTCATCGTGAAAAGATGCTCTCGAAAAGTCAGCTCTGCACACCGACAAACCATTTTAGATCGTTAACTTTTAGTCGTGAAAACGCTATTAAAGCGATATCTGAATAATTTATAACATCCACAACACTATCTGTCAAAAGAACACTGAAAGTAATGCCCGGTAAAGTGATAAACAGAACGAAGTGCCTTGTTATCATGACACGCTTACGGTTCGCTGATCAAGGTTTACAAATTTCGCTGTTGTATACCGCTCGACAAAACGGTGTTTGTGATGAAATGGAACAATAAAGTGTCACAGAAACACCATTTTAACAGCTTAAGCTACATATGCATATTCGAACAACTATAGTTGTAATAAAAGTGTGGCAAACTAAAAGCTTATCAAACCTGTCGAAGTGGCCTCTTTGGTCCAACTGAATTGTTGTCTGAACCAGGCGATTATCATCACGATTGGAATTGTCAGCGTCGGAAATTTCTTTACCTGGTCCATTTAACTGCTCGAATGAAGTACCTTTGTCATTTCCTTCATCAGGAGCAGCAGCTGACTGAGTATTTAGCACTCCATTCTGCGGGTCATAACTCAAGCCGATGTGATTCAAAATGGCGTGAAGAAGAGAGTGAAGATGATTGAAGTTCACGACACCTGCATCCGGAGAGCGCAATGCCAAATCTACCAACCTATGAAGATCCGTTTCGGCCCCCATTTCTTAGTCTTCACATCTTATCCTTTGTGTTGCACAACCACTCTTTGATTGTCATGAATAATGCAAACATGCCATGTCCGGGCAGGAAATTACCATGTCAAGTGGCTTTTAGATAAAATCTTCTGGGAGTGGGGGGAGGGGAATAAACGGCGCTAAACGCGACACGCGTGATCACTCGTGTATTTATTTTATGTTCTTTCCTCGAAATAAAGGATTCGCAGATGCGCAGGTGAAAGGATGAGAAAACTCTTAATTGCCTTTATAAATGAGCATAGCCTTGGGCCGTTATGACATACTCCTGAAAAGATCTTCCTTTCACCATTTGACAAAATTCAAAGGACTACTTTATGACATGTCGAGTCGTTTTCTTTAAGTGTTTGCGTGACCTAAAATTTGCCTCTGACTTGCGGAAAACTGCAACAGTTTATTTTTTTACAAAATGGGGAGGATAAGGCACCACAAAGCTATAAGAAATTAAGGCTACATTTTTCAAGGCATACAAACCGTGGCTTAGCTTGATTGTAAATTGCCCACTATTTTGCGTGGCTTGTTGGGCGCTTCTGAGCATGCTCTACTAATACTTCAGCGACAAATTTTTTGATCTTGAGGAAAATTGACACAAACCTTGATGATAATAACACGATCAGGAGAGTCTCTTCAGTTGCATCCACGTCTAGTTTACTGAACCTGAAGAACCCTCAATGAACGGAGACTACGACAAAGCCATATCAAAGGGTAAGAAGGAGGAAAAATTGACTGTGCTTAACTTGAAATGCAAACTGGCAGATTTTGTTTCAAACAGCTAGACTTAAATTACGAGGTAGTAATTACCATTCGGTTTTAGTGGGCGCACCTGATGGAAAACATAGGGGCGTCGAAGATAGTATCAATCCTTGGTGGAATTTCCAGAGATCAATTGATTGTAAGAAGACTAAGAAAGTTTGTCCAAAGCAAGGAAAGACTGAAGAAGTCATTTTGTGAGGTAGACCTGATATTCATGCCATCGAGAACTCTACCGGCTTTTCTCCCATTCTCTCATAAGTGGTATTCTGGGTTTCCCGGAGAAGGACTACGCGTTTTGCAGCTTGGAAATTCATTCGTGGCAAAATCTAATAAGCCCGAAGAATGTGCTGATCCTTTTGTAAGTAGAAACAACAGGTATAATGCGACAAGCTGAGGATTCCACATTTCTGGACGCGTTACGAGGAAAAATACGCTTGGAGACTAAGAGACACTCACCAAGTTCATGGTAACAATAGT